ACATTAGAGCTATGGTGGACCTTCACAGTAATCTATTATTTTGTGAAAAAAAGCCTATTCAGTTCCATATAAATACTTAATAAGGTAATGAATGTAGAGAAACAAAACCTGATATTGGATTGTGGTTTTTTTTAAATTCAGATTTAAAATGTATTTTTTTTTCCCTGCTGTTTGCATACACTAGCAGATTCAGAAAGAAAATCAATCAGAATTTATGTAACAAAGTAACATGATAGATAGCCTTCCAAAACCAGTGTGAATCTTTCTGAAGCCGCTGAATGCAGTAACGCAAGAGTTCTCCAAGGTGCTTGGGAGCACTTGAAACCCCAGCCTTATTTTTCTAGTGGTTTGTGCAGCCTGTGATTTGTTCCCATCAGGGGAGTGTTTTTAACAGAGGAGAGGCTCTGTCTCTGGGTGGAGTGCTTACTCCTTCAGGGATCAATGTACCTCCAGAGGAAATACTTCAGGTGCAGTTGGCAGCCCAGCGAGGCAGTTGGGCTCCGCACGCCTGCAGCTGCTCGCCTGGATGTGACCCTTGCAGGACAGTTCTGGGACTCTGCAACATTTTCCTGTCCTGATTAATGGAGTTGGATGGAGCTAGAGTTGGCTTTATTTGGCACGGATTTACCTTTCTGTGCTAAAACTCTGTTCTCTTCTATTCCCAGTTGGGTTCACAACCATGCCTACTAACTGCTGGGTATGGAGTGAAGACTGTGTATGTGACATGGAGACCTGATTTGAATGCGTTGGATAGATATGAGGCTAGGCAACAGGCAACTGTGCAGAAATCTCAAGGTTTTGGGGGTTCTTCTAGCACCTAGCAGAGGCAGCATTGTGAAAGCAAACACATAGGATTCTAAATTGCAATTTGAAGAAGAGGGCCTACTTACTGGAGTTTGCGAGAGGAAATAAATCCAAGCCCATGGTTTCCTTTTCTCCTCTCACCAGCAAGAAAAATTTGTAATGAATGTCTCATGTCTGAAACACTGGGCTGGATTCATCAAAGGGAGTTAGTAATTACCAAATTGAGAGAATCATGAAGCGCTTTTCTAAATTTGAAAGGCTCATCAAGAATAGATCAGGAGCAGGCAAAATTAATAGTTATGAACTCATTTCCATAGAAATGGACTTATTAGCAAGCATGCCAGCTGCCTAAAATTATAAGGTCTTTTCCTTGTGCTTGCAGGAAATAATCTTTTTTTATAAAAGTAATTTTGACTTTTTATTTTTCATTGCTCCTCTAAACTAGGGTTTGGCAAAATCCTAATCCGGGAAGAGACTTCACTGGACAATAGAAATATTTAACTAAAAAGAGAAGAAAGATGTGGAAAGGAGAAGTGATTTATAGTCCTTAGATTCCATCAGACTCTTCCCAATAGCGCAAACTTATTTAAGAGAAAAATGGAATAGGTCTCAAGAAAAAGCTGAAAAATCTTTATAGGATAAAGTTTGGTTTAGTGGGATTTAATGGCTGATAACAGCATGAGTTACAGTTGTCAGCTTCTCTGATAGTGGATTTTCCCACTGGGTAGTGTTTTGTCTTCACCAAGTAGTTGCAGATCGACAGTGACTGCAAAGACCAACATATTGTCCACCAGCTACAAATCAGACTAAAAGCTGAAGATTTGCCATGGCAGGGTGGAACAAGTCCTTTTAAAAAGGGTTGTAGTGTAATGCTGCAGAGCCAGGAGAGAAATTTAGATCCAGGTGTTGTGATGTGGATTTATCAGCTAATGGAATTGACATAAGTAAATGTTAACCTTTAAGGTCTTGATTATGGTTTCTCTCTGGTTTTACTTTAGCAACCTCCGTCAATTTTCAATGGAGAAGGTAGTGGTATCCCACATAGGATTATAGAGGATGTTAATAAATTGCAATCATTATGAATATAGTACCAATCCTCCTGCTAGGAAAGAAGCCCTATAGGATAAGAGATGCAGTGACCAGCAGGAAGGCACTAGTCTGAGCAAGAAAAAAAATAACTTCTCAGGCTTTATCACGGGTTCATTGTAGTTGTAACCTGGGAGGAGACTTGGAACAAAGAGGATGGATTAGTCCGTGGGATACGCTGTGTCCCAGATACCATAACACTTGGCATTGCTTGAAGGCTGAATCTTTGTCCTAAAGAGGAAAAAAGGGAGACCATAATTTTAGAGAAAATTCATTGCCCTGTTTTTCTCAAGGTAACTGGAAGCTTTCTGGTGAATAAAGGAGTCCAGAAAGTTGAATACTTGCTAAAGCCATACACTCAGTGGAGAAACTCCCTAAGTGAAAGATAGGTAGATACAGTAAGTCTATCTCCTTTCAGCAAAAGTCCAAATGAAACGTGGATCCTTCTTTAATCAATATTAATATGTCATGCTGCATTATTTGCTTCTAAGACAAAGCAGAAAATATTTGTCAAGCCACATTGTTTTTCCAGGTGATGATAAGGATTCTCTTTGGAGCCAGGACCTAGGAGGTCCTGGGAGACCTAGGAAGTCAGCTTTGCTTTAATTCATACATTAATATTAGTTAGATCTGAGGAAGGCTTATATACATGAGTTGCTGGTCTTTTCTAGATGCACAAAGACTCATTTCCAATCCAGCAGTGTATAATCATATTTGCCTTTAAATGAAACTATGTCTTTTACAGCCATACAGCCGTACTAAGGATGCAGTGGAGGTCTTTGTGTATTTACAGGTACAGGAGTCATTTTACTCCCTGCCAATTACTTCAGCTTGCTATATAGGCAAGACTCACACATGCTTTTCTTAGGGAGATCTGTGTCCCAGTATGTCTTAGAAATATAAAACCACTCTTACGGTTACTTTTTGGATGCATAAAAAGGAAAACAGGAAGGGAATAATTAAAGGCATGACGGACTGAGCTCAAAGAAGTGCCAATCAGTGGGACATGTGGAATGGATTTATCAGTGCAGACTAACCTGACATATTGAGGTGATGAATCTAAAGCAAAACCCTTTATCAGTGGTTATGTTCTGATTTTGAAATCACTGGTAGGTGCTTTTGTGAGTGGCAGATATTGACTTGAACGGATTGAACCTGAATTGCAGATCTAAACATACCTTGACAGGCCCAATTTCTAGATCCATTGTGAGTGTAAAGCTCATCTCTCAATTTTATTTTTGTGTTGTAAGCAAATTAATTTTGTGTAATTTAGATAAAACAAACTGCCAAAAGTGATGTGCAGAAAACTATGAAGTTGACTACTCCATTGTGATGTCCACAGTGGTTATGTTTTTAACATAAATGGCTTAATTACATCTCTAGTATTGTGTAATAATATTTGTCTTAAAACATTTTTGCTGAGTGCCTGGTTGGTCACCCAATAGATGCCTTAATAGTTTCTAGTTTTGCCTGGAGGTGGATATTATCTTCTGTCAGCATGGAAAATATTTCTCCTCCAGGCATTGAAGCATATGTTTGTGTTGTTTGTTGTCAGAAAGAAAACATGAAAATCAATAATTCCTGTTCAGATTTTTTTCTTTTACATTCTTCTTCAAAAACATATGGCAAAACCAGATTCTGCCTCTGTGCAGTTGGGAAGAGGAAAAGGATGTTAAAGTCTCTGTTCTTTGTAGTGGCAGGTCTATAAACACAGCTCTTGGAGTCACTACTTTAGGGTAAGGGCACACAAATAATGTACCATGGGACAGGTGAAATTACAGAGGGTGGGCGATTACTGGGGGGTGCTGCATGCACAGGACACGTCCCTTGTCCAGCTCTCGGTGTGAAATCCTGTGAAGTTCTTGTCTTGTCTTTTGCTGTTGAAGACTTTTCCTTTCTGCCCTAGGTTGGGAACAAGCCCTCTCACACTCGCAGTCAGAGTGTATTCCAGTTGTTACAGAATGGCCTAACATTCTGCAAATTCAGATTTTAACCTATTTTATGAGCTCGTACCCTGAAACTTCAGTAATATTGATAGCATCGGTTTTCTCTTCAGTGTAACACGATTTGGCAGTTGGGTCTGCAGTCAGGTCAGCTGCCTTTCCATCCCACCTCTGTGTTTCGTGAGCTGTGTCAGGTCTCTGCACTGCAGGTGTCTGTCTGGGAAACTGGGGCAGGAACATGTATGATGCTTTGTAAAGAACCTTAATTTTTGTGGAAGTAAAGTGCTCGATGAGCAAAGATCTGTTTTCTAAATAGGGCCCTGCTGTGGATATGCTAAGGGCTGTTGGTTAAATCTTGGTGTCTGTTTTCTTCTCTGTATCGTGAAGATAAGATCTGTTTTTCTAACCTGAGGATTAATTACTAATATTTACATAGTGTTGGACGAGAGGAGAGTGCAAAGTGTTGCTGTTAACAAAAGAAGCAGAATTAATTTTTAAATGCAGCTCTCAATGCTATGCATTTACATCAGTTTCTCTACCTTTAAACATTTATTTCCAGATGAGAAATATATAATGATCACCATATAATTACAAGTCTGCACCACTGATGAGAAGAATGTTTTCATGAATTGAAAATAAGGTTAATCTACCCCCCATTTTTTTGGTCATGTATAATTTCTGCAAATTCATTTTTTTCACTGAGATAAAGACAAGTTTAGGTTTGAAAGACTTCTCCCCTGCTCCCCTTAAAAGCTCATTTCTGATACAGCATGAAGAATAGCCAAGTATTCTGTTGTTCCAGAGCATCAGTATTTGCAGAAACAAAATTATAATAATGCCATATTAAATAATTTAGCAACATCTGTGCAATGCAGTTCCCAGGGTTTGGAGCTTATTCTGTAAGTTCATTGTGATTATGGAGAATGAATGCCTGAGTTTAATGGGAAAAATACCTCAATTTCAGGAAGCTAAAAGATAGAGTGTCCCCTTATCTATAAAAGTGTAGCTGTTGCTCAGTGTGTAGCTTGATTTAGGTTTCTGTTACTGTTTTCGAGTCTGCATGTTGAATTCGATGGTAAATCTTCTGGTGAATAGAAAAGAGAAACAAAAATGTGTTTGGTTATTCACATCCTACTGATGTTGTGGGCATTTTTTTTTTCTCTCCAGAGTAAACATGACCTCCTACGAGATCTTGCAGATGGACTTTGAGATTGACAACACTAGCAGCCTGGCAGGGGCCCAGCAAATTACCTGGCAGGTGGAATACCCTCGAGATGACTCCGTGAGTGAGCTGGTGGTCTCTGAGATCTTTGTCAGCCGAACAATGTTTGTGGGAATTGTTCCTCTTGCGATGGTAAGAACTTACCACCTCTTCTTTTTGCTAAGTGTTTCCGTTGATTCTCGTTAGTATTCAAGGGAATGTGAGCCATTTTATTATATGCTACTTCCTATGCACCTGCTGCAAGTGATTTAAATGCAGAAAATACATTTCAATAATATTTTATTTACCTGATATGCCATAATGGCTCCTTGGAAACCATTTGAGTCTTTTGTGAAAAACCTTTACCGTTTGTGGATTATTGGCCTGGTACATGGTAATAGCTCCTTTGGAGCTATTGTCTTCTGGTGTATTAATGTGACTGCCATGCCTGTGCTCTAAGGGTAAACGTTGCAATTAGTTGGGACATTTTCAATGAAATTAGCATGCATGTGTGGAAAACTTCATTGCTAAACCAAACAACTGGACTGTTTTCTGCTTTGCCTTTCCCCAAAGAGCCACACAGTCCAGTGAGCTGCAAAGTGTCAATTTAATAAAAGGTCCATTCTGAGTTATAGAGAAAGAACAAAATACTTTCTGAAGATGTAGGTGTCGACCATATTTTCCAGGCAAGATTTAACATGTACGTGTGCAGGAAGCTTGAAGCTGATGGTTTATTCAAAAAATGCAAATATCTCCTTCTAAAATCAAATGCACCTTTTCTAGGAGGGACATTTGGTCTACATTTAGACCTGATGGACTTTTTAGTACTAGAGTTTTAAGCTTACACATGACAAGTGATTTCAGTGGGGATATTCTGGTGTAAAACTAGAGAAACGGCCAGAAAGCCTGGATGTTATACCAGTTCCCTCAGAAACACTCTGGTAATTTTTGTTTACTACTCATGAACATTTGTCCTTCCTTTCCTAGTTGGTCTGTGCTGGTTTTCTTTCTGTTTCACTGTATAACCAACAAATATTGGCATTTTCCTCTGCATGACCACTAGCTTCTCCTACTAGGACAGAAAAAAGGGAAGATGCTTGTAAAGATAAACAAGACCCTAAGTAATTCTAATTTCCAGTTCCTATTGCCAAAGGCCACACTTACTGGCAGCCCAATGATGGAAGAGAAATAATATGCAGAAAAGTCAATAGAGAACTTTCTTCTAGTGCTTTTTTTTTGAAGCATGTAGCAGATGAAACAAAACTCTAATTGTGTGGATGGAATATTATCAAGTATCAATGGTGAGTCAGATATAACAATGACAGAATGTGGTGCATGAACAGTCTTGCACGTGGCATTGTTGGTTTCCAGTGGATAGCATGGAGTTTGAGCCATGCAGAGCACCACAGACAGAAAAGTGAATCCAGGGCAAAAGCCCATTGTGAATGTTGGATCAGAGCTTTGCTGCTGTCTCTGCCAGGATTTTGCCAGGGTTTCACTTCATCTCTGCAGTTATGGCAGATGCTGGCCACTTCAGCTGTCTCTAAATGCCCTTGGACAAAATCTGAGGCTGAACCTGAATTCAAAGTGGAGCTCATCTAATCTCACACTTTGTCATTGTAAACTAACTGTGGAGTGAAGTAAGAAGCTTCTTTTGTGAATTTATGACCTTAGTCCTTAAATGTGGTTCTCATGTGGGCTGTTACTCTGGTGTTGCATGTAAGCATCCTTGACTGGCTTGGCCCAAGGCTGATAGGAGAATTGATGATAGCAATGGCAGGAACAACAGCTTGTATTTGCAGTTCTTTCCCTTATGTTTGCCAGTTTGCAGCGCTGCTTCATTGAACAGTCACTGACTGGTGCAGATTCTGGTACTGCATTGGCCAGGCAGAAGAAAAAAATAACTCGTCTGTGCATCATCCTGTGTTGTTCAGAGAAACACGTTCCCAAGGCCCAGAGTTCCTGACCAAACTAAATGCATTTTAATGTCCATTCCTCTTCAAGATTTGCCTGGCTCGTTGGTAAGGCAATACCCCTCTGAGTGCAGGTGGTGTCTGTAAAAGAGAATTTTGTAATCTCCAGGACCTTGGTGCCCCAGAATAGCTCCATAGAAGGGTCCAGAAACCAGTATGTTTCCGTGCCTTTGCCATTCCACTGAACATAAATTACTTGTTCCTTTTCAGCATATCTACTGTTTCATTGTAAACACTGAATATTTATAGATTAAAACGTGGAGTTCCTTAGAGAGTTTAAGGTTTGAGCAAAACATATATTCCTTGATTTGCAGGAATTAACTTTTTGATGGTATTACCAAAACCTCATGGTGGTTCAGTGGTAATGACACCAGTATTTGCATGAAGAAGTGCAGCTCAATGTCTTGAAGAGGAAAAAAATATTTCCCAGTAAGAAGCCTGAGGTGGATTCAATAATAACTTACTGGAGGAGAAATTATCCGTGAAATCCCACAAAACAAAAATGAACTTTAGTGTGTGGATCTCTTTCTGCAGGCTACTTTGGTTCTTTTAATATAGAGACATCCTCTTCCATATGATTTGGAATATCACTGTTTCGTTGCTGCAGTTGGTCATGAGTTTATCACTGGTTTCCATGCTACTTTCTTAAACAAACAGGTGAAAATTGAAAGAGCCCCCTGATAATTTATTCTGTCATTGCATTGTGGAGACTCTGGAGATAGCATAGGGAGTTTTTTCTCACTACTAGCCTGCTTTTTTTTTGCTTTTTTTTTTGTGTAGATAAAGATATGGTAGACTGCATAGTAACATTTGAATAATGATGTGATTAAAAGAGCTGATTTTTTTGCTTTAGTGAGTTTATGATAACCTTAACATGAAATCTCATGTTCTTAACATTTACATTTGGTAGCAAGTTTGAAAGGCTTTTTGTGTGTGTGTGTGTGTGTTTTGCTTTTGGGTTTTTCTAAGTGAAGATACAGCTGGTTTTTGCACATTATGTAGCAAAAAATAACTCCTTATTAGCAGACAGTCTTGCTGTAATGAATTGATATTGCAGATTATTTCTGGCTAGTCCTTTGGTATCAAATCAGCAGTGCATTAATGAGCACTGTTTTGAGTTGAACAGAAGGAAGAAGGGCCAGGGAGAGTCTACAGGTGAGATCCGGGCCAGAGTAGCACCCATCAGCTGTACTCTGTCCCTGCCTTCAGCCATACTGACATAACTCGGTGAAAGAATAGTATGATAAACTGTAGTGCCTATATGCTGTGACTAAAAAGGACCAAAGATTTTTTGAGCCTTGACAGGGACATTAGGAAGTAACTAGAAACTTGTTAGCTTGTGAGAAAAGTAGAAATACTTAGTATAGCAAAACCAACTGTTCTTCTTTCTTTATGATAACTGTAAAAATTCTTTGGGTTCTTTTGGGGGTTTTGCATTTTTTTGAGAAGAGGACTAAAATACAATCTTGGAATATTGGGAGTTCCTCCCAGACTATCCATCTTAACTTGAATGATCCTCCATATAATAAATCTTAGTGTTATTTATTGCCAAATTCAGTGCATCCAAAATGTGTAAAGAAAACATTTGCACTAATGAGAGAAAAAAAAAATCATATTGAAAAAGAACCTGCTTTTTGCATCATCCGACAGTTCTCCCCAAATCCTTATGCTCCTTCTAATTGAAACATCCAGTTTTGACAACTGCACAGAGCCAGACAGTTGGGATTTCCAAGGGAACTACATCCAGATGGAAACAGCACAGTCCGGTAATTTAGGATTTGCTTTCTGAAAGTCGTCTCTCTACGTGAGCAGTGTAGGCTCTCTGCACAGTGGGAAAGCGCCCAGAGAGGATGCCATGGAAATGCAGACCATGCCTGGCTGACATGACAAAGAAAAGAGGAAATATCCAGATGGGTGATCACAATTGTATGTAGCCTACACCTCTCTCAGGAGCTGATTTGGATGACAGCTGTGATAGCCCTACTGCTGCTGTAAGGGTTGGCTTTGTTTGTGGCATTTTCTTATGGTTCTGCCTCTAAATCAGATGCCTGCTGAGAGGCTTCAGTCCTATAGCATTTATTATAGAGGAACATAGTGGGGAATGCTCTCGTTAAGCTACGCTGTCATTTCCATCATTCCCAGCTGCTGAGAGGACTGTGGAAAAGCAAGTGACCCAGTCTGTGTGTGTACAGCCAAAGTTGTATGGGAAAACACATTTGGTTTTACCTGAGGAATGCTTTGAGATGTGAAAGGACATAAGAGGGTAGACTGTATCTTTCAACCTGTGCTCCCCCCAAAAACCCAACCAAAACCCTCAGTTTTTGTTTTGTCCAAACGTGGCCTTATTACCTCTTAGCAGGTGACTAGAGCACCAGTTCAAAGTCAATTCAGAGTGCAGAGCACTTCTTGTCTCACTGGCACTGTTTTCAGCCTCACGTATGATCTGATCCCTGTGTGCATTTTACACCATTTTAGAAACAGATTGTTTATTTTGTCTAGTGTTCAATGTGACTTATGCTGAGATGAGCACACAGGATTCTGGGCCGCACATACCTATCCTACCTAGCCTCTGTTTTATAAACTAACTGATCTCTCAAAGTGCTTGTACCAATAGCCTGTGTTTTGTCCCCAGAAGATTTTGTTTCTGTAGATGAGGCTAGATTGGGAAATTCACCCCTTCTAAGCATGAAAATTGGATATATCCATAATGATCCTCTTGTATAGCTGTAGAGGTATAAAAATATATGTATTGAGACAAGGTGTCATAACATATCCAAATATAAGTATGTGGGGAAATATATGATTCTTAGTTACTTTTTTTTCAGGCTGCTTTAGGAGCGGTCAGTGAAATTCAAAGTTCTTTGGACACCTGGCTGAGAATACATGAAGCTCAAAACCTAGCAACCTCTGAAATCCTTCAGAGTGCTGCTGTTTTAATCCCAGAAGCTGTGCAACTAGGTTCCTGCTAGGAGGGATGTGGAGTGTGTGTGTGTGTGTGTGTGTGTGTGTCTTCCTCTCTAAGTACAAATTATTCTAAATACCTTTTCTGTGAGCTGTGACACATAAAATGGGTGAGGATGTATTGTCCTGTAACTGCTAGAGTATTTTCTGATAGCTAAAAGGGATTGTATGGGCCTGATTACATATGGAAAATAAATGCTAATTCCTAAAACTCCATGC